GGCGTCGGGGCTCGTCCCTCTACATATGAAGGGGGCTGTTCGTGTTTCTGTGAGTCTGTCATAACATGTTCTTGAAGTTTGTCAATAGTCTCTCAGACAAATGTTCCCTGTGGGGGCCCCCGCGTCCCATAGCGGGGCCAGTCTTTCACACATAGACTTTCCGGTCTCCTGGGGCTGTTTCAGATCACAGCCCTTACAAAAATCCCTTCCTATTTATCAAACATTCTAAGGGAGTCGGGACTGACGGGTTCCCACCCATATTTGAACTCTAGAGACACCAAGACAGACACAGAGGGTAGGGTGAGGATTGAGGGTCTTATTAGGGGTCCGAGACTCTCCACACAAAGAGGTTATAAAACAACAATTTCACTTATCGGTGACTCGACACCTGGCCGAGAACTGCACCTACACAGGGCCCACTCTCGCCTCGTTGCCGGTGATAGATGCCGCTCGCGTCATCTATCACCGGTGAGCTCTGTCTGTTTCCGCTACAGGAAGCGCGATCAGAGACAGGAAGTGATGTAAGGTTCACACAGGAAGTTCCGGGTTAGAGGTGAGTTGGGAGGAAGTGGAGAGGAGACATTGCTGGAACTGGAAGGAGAGAAGCTAATATGATATTATATTGATATAACAACACCCGGCATAGGAGGAACAATCGGGTGATCGCTGAACCCGTCATTTATTGAAATCGTTCCGCACCAGGTAACGCGTTTTCGAAGGAGCGAGGAACGCGTCCGGGTACGAAGATACGAGGTGAGTAGGGGAATGATTGCGCCCGTTGGATCGCATTGTTAATGGCTAACACATTTTGTGGTTGTTAGTATATTACAGTAGGTTACCATCTCACTGTCGTCTCTTGAGGATGGAGGAGGACCAAGGTCACATGACTGAGAGGATATTGGACCTCACCGTGGAGATCATCTACCTGCTGACCGGAGAGGTGAGGAGGATTCTGGGGGGTCACATGACATCGCTCTGATCTCTATTCATAAAACACAAACCTGACAGGAGGTGAGAAGGATTCTGGGAAATCTGTGGTGATAACTGTATCTTTCTCTCCCAGGAGTACAAGGTAGAGAAGAAAATATCTGGTGAACCAATAACACCCAACAGATGTCTTCACAGGACGTCACCCATCACAGAGCCTCCACCTCACCGCCTGACAACAGAGGAGACCAGAGCCAAGAAGGTTCTAGAAGTCACCGAGAAGATCATCGAGCTCTTGACGGGAGAGGTGAGCGGTGCCGGGAATTCTGGGACATGATCCAGGAACAGACGAGGGATGTGTCTGGATGGTGACTGTATCATTGTGTGTGTCAGGTTCCTATAAGGTGTCAGGATGTCTCTGTCTATTTCTCCATGGAGGAGTGGGAGTATCTAGAAGGACACCGGGATCTCTACAAGGACGTGGTGATGGAGAATGCCCCGCCCCTCACATCACCGGGTAAGAGGAGAGAGCAGTACGGAGGCTCCGCCTACATCCCCCATCATCTGATACACACATAGAAACAATGTATTCAGTCAGTGTGTGTGTTTCCTACAGATGGATCCAGTAAGAGGAACCCACCAGAGAGATGTCCCCGTCCTCTGTATTCCCGGGA